AGACTACTCTTTAGTCTAAGACTATTCTGTAGTCTAGTCTAGTTTGTTAACTCTTTAGACTTTCTTAAACTGAAGATTTAAAATATTTCATGTTCTTTGACAATTTTTTTTTTTAAATTTTCTTCTTTTTTGTATGAAATCAAAGCTTTTGAAATTTGTTTTTATTTTAAGTAAACTTTAAACTTTTCTTATTTAATTTATTACATATTTACCAAAAACCACACATCCGAACAGTATTGAAGAAAAAAAACCAAAACTAAACAAACAAAACAAAAACGAAAATTTACTTGAAACCTTAAAAAACGTAAAAACAAATATTAGAAAAACAGCTAAAAAATATATTAAAACCCAAACAAAACGAAAACAAATATTTATTTACAAAAAGGAAAAAAAAACATTAAAAAAATATTGAGAAGAAAATTATGAAGAAAAACAAAACTTTTGTTCATTAAAAAAAAAACAAATTTTTTATTTAATTTTTTTATAACAAAAAACAAAAAAAAAATATTTTAATTTTTTTCTACCTATTGAATATAAAATATAAAAAACCAACAACGTAATTAAATAAAAGAAAAAAATGTTATACAACTTTAAGCCATTTATTAATTAAGTAAACAAATAAAACAACAAAAAAACACAACTTCATCTTAACAACAAACTTAAAAACGGAAAATAATATTAAACAAAAATAATAATAATTATAATAAAATTATTATTAAAAAAATATTTCATTTAACTTTAAGTTAATATTTCATAATTATTATTAAAATACAACAAAAAAAAAAATAATAAAAAAAATAACAACAAAACCCATAAATAATAATGATTATATGAAGGAAAAAAAAGAATAAGCAAGAAAACAAACAACAACAAAAAACTTAATAAAAAATTTATGATATAATCAACCAAAAAATAAAAACAGGATCATGTTTTTTTTAAACAAAAACTTTGGAAGGAATCAAAAAATTAAAGAAGTTGGAATATTTGTTAAGTAGAAAAAATTAATAGACTATAGACTAGACTATAGACTAGACTATAGGCTATACTATAGACTAGACTATAGGCAATACTATAGACTAGACAATAGACTAGACTATAGACTAGACTAAAGACTATACTATAGACTAGACTATAGACTAGACTATAGACTAGACTATAGACTAGACTATAGACTAGACTATAGACTAGACTATAGACTAGACTATAGACTAGACTATAGACTAGACTATAGACTAGACTATAGAATAGACTATAGAATAGACTATAGACTAGACTATAGACTAGACTATAGAATAGACTATAGACTAGACTATAGACTAGACTATAGACTAGACTATAGACTAGACTATAGACTAGACTATAGACTAGACTATAGACTAGACTATAGACTAGACTATAGACTAGACTATAGACTAGACTATAGACTAGACTATAGACTAGACTATAGGCTAGATTATAGACTAGACTATTAACTAGACTATAGATTAGACTATAAACTAGACCATAAACTAGACTATAGGCTAGACTATAGACTAGAATATAGACTAGACTATAGATTAGACTATAGACTAGACTATAGACTAGACTATAGAATAGACTATAGACTAGACTATAGACTAGACTATAGAATAGACTATAGACTAGACTATAGACTAGACTATAGACTAGACTATAGACTAGACTATAGACTAGACTATAGACTAGACTATAGACTAGACTATAGACTAGACTATAGACTAGACTATAGACTAGACTATAGACTAGACTATAGACTAGACTATAGACTAGACTATAGACTAGACTATAGACTAGACTATAGACTAGACTATAGACTAGACTATAGACTAGACTATAGACTAGACTATAGACTACACTATAGCCTAGACTATAGACTAGACTATAGACTAGACTATAGACTAGACTATAGGCTATACTATAGGCTATACTATAGGCTATACTATAGACTAGACTATAGACTAGACTATAGGCTATACTATAGGCTATACTATAGGCTATACTATAGACTAGACTATAGACTAGACTATAGACTAGACTATAGACTAGACTATAGACTAGACTATAGACTAGACTATAGACTAGACTATAGACTAGTCTATAGACTAGACTAGACTATAGACTAGACTATTGACTAGACTATAGACTAGACTATAGACTAGACTATATACTAGACTATATACTAGACTATAGACTAGACTATAGGCTATACTATAGACTAAACTATTGACTAGACTCTAGAATAGACTACAGACTAGACTATAGACTAGACTATAGACTAGACTATAGACTATACTATAGACTAGACTATAGACTAGACTATGGACTAGACTATAGACTAGACTATGGACTAGACTATAGACTAGACTATGGACTAGACTATAGACTAGACTATGGACTAGACTATAGACTAGACTATAGGCTATACTATAGGCTATAATATAGGCTATACTATAGGCTATACTATAGACTAGACTATAGACTATAGACTAGACTATAGACTAGACTATAGACTAGACTATAGACTAGACTATAGACTAGACTATAGACTAGTCTATAGACTAGACTATAGACTAGACTATAGACTAGTCTATAGACTAGACTATAGACTAGACTATGGACTAGACTATAGACTAGTCTATAGACTAGACTATAGACTAGACTATGGACTAGACTATAGACTATACTATGGACTAGACTATAGACTAGACTATAGACTAGACTATAGACTAGACTATAGGCTATACTATAGACTAGACTATTGACTAGACTATAGATTAGACTATAGACTAGACTATAGACTAGACTATATACTAGACTATAGACTAGACTATAGACTAGACTATAGACTAGACTATAGACTAGACTATAGACTAGACTATAGACTAGTCTATAGTCTAGTCTATAGACTAGTATAGCCTATAGACTAGATTATAGACTATAGGCTATACTATAGACTAGACTATAGACTAGACTATGGACTAGACTATATAATTTACCATAGACTAGACTATAGACTAGACTATGGACTAGACTATAGACTAGACTATATACTAGACTATAGACTAGACTATAGACTAGACTATAGACTAGACTATAGACTAGACTATAGACTAGACTATAGACTAGACTATAGACTAGACTATAGACTAAACTATAGACTAGACTATAGACTAGATTATAGACTATAGGCTATACTATAGACTAGACTATAGGCTATACTATAGACTAGACTATAGACTAGACTATAGACTAGACTATAGACTAGACTATAGACTAGACTATAGACTAGACTATAGACTAGACTATAGACTAAACTGTAGGCTAGAATTTAGACTAGACTATAGACTAGACTATGGACTAGACTATATAATATACCATAGACTAGACTATAGACTAGACTATGGACTAGACTATAGACTAGACTATAGGCTATGCTATAGACTAGACTATATACTAGACTATAGACTAGACTATAGACTAGACTATAGACTAGACTATAGACTAGACTATAGACTAGACTATAGACTAGACTATAGACTAGACTATAGACTAGACTATAGACTAGACTATAGACTAGACTATAGACTAGACTATAGACTAGACTATAGACTAGACTATAGACTAGACTATAGACTAGACTATAGACTAGACTATAGACTAGACTATAGACTAGACTATAGACTAGACAATAGCCTAGACTATAGACTAGACTATAGACTAGACTATAGACTAGACTATAGACTAGAGACTAGACTATAGACTAGACTATAGACTAGACTATAGACTAGACTATAGACTAGACTATAGACTAGACTATAGACTAGACTATAGATTAGACTATAGACTAGACTGTAGACTAGACTATAGACTAGACTGTAGACTAGACTATAGACTAGACTATAGACTAGACTTTAGACTAGACTATAGACTAGACTATAGACTAGACTAGACTATAGACTAAACAACACTAGACTATAGACTAGACTATAACTAGACTCTAGACTAGACTATAGACTAGACTGTACACTGTACTATAGAATAGACTATAAACTAGACTATAGACTAGACTATAGACTAGTCTATAGACTAGATTATAGACTAGACTATAGACTAGACTATAGACTAGACTATAGACTAGACTATAGACTAGACTATAAACTAGACTATAGACTAGACTATAAACAACACTACAGACTAGAGAGAGAGAGAGAGGGCAGACTATAGACTAGAATATAGACTAGACTATTGACTAGACTATACTATAGACTAGCCTTTAGACTAGACTATATAGTAGACTATAGACTAGACTATATAGTAGACTATAGACTAGACTACAGACTAGATAGACTAGACCAAAACTAGACTACAGACTAGACTATAGGCTAGACTATAGACTAGACTATAGACTAGACTATAGACTAGACTATAGACTAGACTATAGACTAGACTATAGACTAAACTGTAGGCTAGAATTTAGTCTAGACTATAGACTACATTCTAGACTAGCCTTTACACTGGAATAGGCTATAGACTAGACTATATACTAGGCTATAGACCAGATTATAGACAGGACTATGGACTATATTATAGACTTAGTTATAGACTAGACTAGATTGTAAACTAGACTGTAGACTCGAATAATAATTCTAAAATATAGATTTAATTATAGACTAGACTATAACCTAGGCTATACACAAGATTGTAGACTAGAAAATAGACTAGACTACAGTTTTGTACTATGTTCTGAACTATAGAATAGAATACAGACTAAACTATAGTCTCTTCTAAAGTCTCCTCTAATATTTATCAGACTATCCAGTTCTTTTTCTAAAAACCAAATAATCTAAAAGAAAAATCCGTTTTTTTTAAATCCAAAAATAATTTCTGCTCTCATCTACCCAAAACTTTTTGTAATTTTTATAAAATTCTTTTAATTATCTAAAAGTATTTCTACCTCTTTCTTTTTCATCCTGCATCCACAGGCCTTTTAATGCATCCCTCAAGCCAACAGCCCAACAGTTTAAATAGTTTGGGTCAAGCAGCCTCTGCAAATCTTATGCGTTCATCACGTGGTGGTGGCGTCGTTGTCGGTGGTGGTGGTGGACCACAAAATTTCGATCAAAACTCTATGATGATGAAATCCCTATACGAACAACAACAGCAGCAGCAACAGCTGCTGGCGGCACAGCAATCACTGCAGGGTTTACTATCGCCCGGTTCGAATAGCAGTTGTAGCAGTAGCACACAACAACAGCAATCGAACAGTGTAAGTAGTAATAATTATCCCTTGGCCATGGATTGTGATCCTCCCTTGGCCTCGCAACAAATGCCACCACCACCGCCACCTTTACAACTTCATACAAATATGCGTTTTGGTGTTAATAACTCCTCAACGTCTTTGCAAGGTGGTGGAGTATCATCCACTACCTCGGGGGGTAGTACAGGCTCTTTAAATTCCTCACGCATACGACAAAACTCTGGCAGTTCAGGGGGTTTTAATCCTTTGCAGACCAACAAACATCAGCCTTCAACAGCTGGCACAGCTGTGGCACATCATCACAATTATGCACCCGCTTCGCTGCCAACAGATTTTGTTCATCATCCGCTGTCGGCGGCTGCCTCGCATCTAATGATGACCGATTCTAGCGTTATAACTGCCTCTGCAGCTGGCTCATCTACTGGACCTGCCTCGTATACATCCTGGCCCTCGGTGGCACCAACCAGCAATCATGTCTTTGGCCTGCCTCCACCACCACCGCCCTCACACATGTTAGCCGGCGTTAGTATGTCAAATGATATGGTTAATGCTCCCGCACATTTACAACAACAACATTTAATGCATCAGCAGCAGCAGCAGCAACAACAACAGCATCAGCAGCAGCATCAATTACAACATTCACAAAGGCGTGCAGTTGGCGGTGGTGGTGGTGCGGATCGTCTACCCCCGGTCAACTCTAATAATAGTTCGAATTCTTCTGGTAATAATAGTGGTTCTGCCAGTGGAGATGCCTCTTCGCCCATGGTAGGCGTTTGTGTTCAACAAAGTCCTGTAGTTATTCATTAAGTTTCCAATACTTTCCCCTGGTTTTCCCTACTTTACAAGAAAACACTACTTTAACTCCTATTGCTTGACTTTTTCTTTTTGTTAAGAAAGAGAGAGAGAGAGAGAGAGTTTTATTTGTAGGTAGTGTTTTATTCTATCTTGTACTACTATTTTCTCTATATATTTTCTGCTCTATTACTGCTCTAATACTTTAAAAAATTATTTTATTTTTATATATATATAAATATAAATTTTATTATTATAATTTAATGCAAGAAAAAAAAAAAGAAACAAAAAATATATATTTGTATTTAATTTTTATTATTATCTTATATATATTTTATTGTCTTTATTTTTTGCTTTTTCGTATAATTTAACTGTATTGTTGTTAAAGAGAGATAAACAAAAACAAAACAATTTAATTATTAATAATAACTATTATAGACATTATATATACCTAAACTTATAACATTATAATATAAATAACTAAATAATAATTATTAAAAAAAAAACATATATATTTTAGTATATATGTTTATTTAATCGTAAATTTACAAAATTTTTAAAAATTGTATTCTTTTAGGGAGAAAAATAAAATAAGCTGCTTAAGAAAACAACAAATGCCTAGTTAGAAGTAAAAATATTTAGCTACAAGTTAAAGCAACAAATTTGTCTAAGAAAGAACTTTAAGTTTACTCTCTAGTACAGCCTAAACACTACTCCATAGTTAAGATAGTAGACTATTCTATAGTCTTATAAATAGACGCATCTATAGCCTGAACAATAGACTAAAGACTATTCTATAGTCTACACTCTAGTCTATTGACTATTATATAGTCTAGTCTATTGACTATTATATAGTCTAGTCTATAGACTTTTCTATAGTCTAGTCTATAGACTATTCTATAGTATAGTCTATTGATTATTCCATAGTCTAGTCTTTTAACTATTCTATAGTTTAGTTTATAGACCATTCTATAATCTAATTTATAGACTAGTCTAGTCTATAGAATGTTATATATTCTAGTCTATAGAATGTTCTTTAGACTAGTCTTTATATAATCCAGTATGTAGACTGTTCTATAGTCTAGTCTATATACTGTTGTACAGTCCAGTCTATATACCATTCTATAGTCTAATCTATACACCATTCTATAGTACAGTCTATAACATATTATATAGTCTAGTCTATAGACTATTCTATAGTTTATAGACTGTTCTATAGTCTAGTCTATAGATTATTCTATAGCTTAGACTATAGACTATTCTATAGTCTACTCTATAAACTATTCTGTAGTCTAGTCTATCGACTCGCGAATATACAAATATATAGCCTGACCAATAAACTATTCTATGGTCTAGTATATAGACTATAGACTGTTCTATAGACTATTCTATAGTCTATGCTATAGACAGTTCTATATTCTAGTCTATAGACTATTCTATAGTCTAGTCTATAGACTATTCTATAGTCTAGTCTATAGACTATTCTATAGTCTAGTCTATAGACTATTCTATAGTCTAGTCTGTAGACAATTCTATGGTCTAATCTATAGACTATTCTATGGTCTAGTCTATAGACTATTCTATGGTACTATTCTATACTCTAGAGACTATTCTATAGTTTAGTCTATAGACTATTATATATTCTAGTCTAGAGACTATTCTATAGTATAGTCTACAGGCTAATCTATAGTCTAGTCGATAGACTATTCTATAGTCTAGTCTATAGATTATTCGAGAATATTTCGTAGTCTAGTAAATATACTGTTCTATAGTCTAGTCGATAGACTATTCTATAGTCTAGTCTATAGATTACTCTATAGTCTAATCTATAGAATATTTCATAGTCTAGTATATATACTGTTCTATAGTCTAGTCTATAGACTATTCTATAATCTAGTCTATAGATAACTCTATAGTATAGTATATAGGCTAGTCTATAGACTATTCTATAGTCTAGTCTATTGACTATTCTATAGTCAAGTCTATAGATTACTCTATAGTCTAGTATATAGACTGTTCTATGGTCTAGTCAATAGACTATTCTACAGACTGACTGTAGACTATTCTATAGTCTAGGCTGTAGACTGTTCTATAGTCTAGTCCATATACTATTCTATAGTCTAGTCTAGAGACTTGTATAGTATAGTCTACAGACTATTCTATAGTCTAGTCTACAAACTATTCTATAGTCTAGTCTAAAGACTATTCTATAGTCTAGCCTATAGACTATTCTATAGTCAAGTCTATAGACTATTCTATAGTCTAGTCTATAGATTATTATATACTCTAGTCTTTAGACTAGTCTAGTCCATATATTATTCTATAGTCTAGTCTAAAGACTTCTATAGTATAGTCTACAGACTATTCTATAGTCTAGTCTATAGATTATTCTAAAGTCTAGTCTATAGATTATTTCATAATCTAGCCTATAGTCTAGTCTATAGACTATTCTATAGTCAAGTCTACAGATTATTCTATACTCTAGTCCTTAGACTATTCTATAGTCCAGTCTTTGGAATATTCCATAGTCTATAGCCTGGTCTATAAACTGTTCTATAGTCTAGTCTCAAGACTATTCTATTGTCAATAAGACGACAAACCAAACATTTCTATAATTTAGACAAATTTTGTTGTTAAACTAATAAAAAAAAAAGTGGAATTTAATTTAAAAATTGCTTAAACAGCCTATATTCTGCTATAAAACTAAACATATTTTACATTTATTCTTTTTATATTTTTGTTTAAATCCATTTACAATTACAATTTTTTTTTTTATTAAACGGTTTTACGAATCCGTCCATAGTATACTTTTTCTATTAAAGAAATCAACAACAATAAAGAAATATAAAAGGTGTTAACAGTTTCTGTAAGATTTAGTAATTGACAAACTCTTTACGACAAATAGAGAGAATTAACACATTTTTCTTACAGCCAACCTAAGAAAATTGTCTATAGAAATAAAAAATTTTCTAACAAAACTAACAAATGACCATTTAAACAGCAGCTTAAAAAGATAATTTAAACTATAAAAACTCTAAATAAAAGTTAGTTTGTAGTATAATAAAACAAATAAAGTGCTACTTTTAAATTAATTTTAAAAACTACAAAAAAATCAATATTGAAAAATAAAACTATAAATTTATTTTTAAGTTTAATTTAACATTAAAAAACTAAAAAAAAAGAAATATTTAACTATATTAAAACAATATGACTCAATAGTTTTTATATATACATAAACTATATATTTCGATAATTTTAACAAAAAAAAAAAAAACAAAAAACAAAATAAAATATACAACACAAAACAATAGCAAAATTTATATAATTTTTTTTTCATAATTTATTTAATTTTTTTTTAGTTAAATTTTTTTTTATACACACACACTTTTTTCCTCGCCTTGTTTATAATATAATTTTTAATGCAAAAAGTTAAACAACAAGAAATTTGTACATTTAATTAAAAAAAAAAAAATAATCATGAAATGTAAACTACATCTGCCGTTTTTTATATACATACTTATATAAAAAAAAATCTTAAAGATTTCAAACCATCCTCTCCATTTTTTATTATTATTATTTTTATTTAACTTTACAACAAAATGTATTTTTTTCTTATTAGAAATAAAAAAAGAAAACAAATTATATATAAATTTAAAGAAACAACCAGAAAATACACATGTAATTAAGTTTTAAAAATTTGCTAGTTATAAATTTGACCCTTACATTAAAATAAATCTAAATTTTATTAAAAAAAAATGCAAAAAAAAATGAAAAAAAGAGTTTTATTTAAAGAAGATAAAAAAAATATTTGAGGGTCAATGTTAAAGAAGATTTTCTATAGAAAATCTTTCCTCAAAACTATTGCCGAGATTTCCTATAGTAAACCTTCAGCTACCAACGATAGTGAAGGATATTTTATAGGAAATCTTGAGCTATAAACGAAAGCATAGCCTATTGTCTAGACTATGGAGTAGTCTATTGACCAAACTATAGAATAATCTATTGACTACACTAGACGAAATAATAGTCCATTGACTAGACTATAGAAAAGTCTATTGACAATTCTATAGAATAGTCTATTGACTAGACTATAAAAATATCTATAAACTAGACTATAGAATAGTCTATTGACTAGACTATATAATAGTATATTGATTAGACTATAGAATAGTCTATAGACTAGACTATAGATTAGTTAATTTACTAGACTACAGAAAAGTCTATTGACTATACTATAGAATAGTCTATAGACTAGAGAATAGTCTAGATTAGACTATAGAATAGTCTGTAGACTAGACTATAGGATAGTCTATTGACTAGACTATAGAATAGTCTATTGACTAGACTATAGAATAGTCTATTGACTAGACTAGAGAATAGTCTATTGACTAGAATATAGAATAGTCTATAGACTAGACTATATAGTAGTCTATAAACAAGATTATAGACTACACTATAGAATAGTCTATAGACTAGACTATAGAATAGACTATTGAATAGTCTACTGACTCGATTATTGAGTAGTCCATAGCCTGCACTATTGAATAGTTTATTGACTAAACTATAGAATAGTCTATAGACTAGACTATAGAATAGTCTATAGACTAGACTGTAGAATAGTCTATAGACTAGACCAACGGTTCCCAAAAGGGGGTCCGCGGACCCCTAGTGGTCCGTAGCAAAATCCTAGGGGGTCCGCGAAGACGAACGACAAAAATCATGAATAAAAAATATTCTCTATTTGTTAGAAAATATTAAAAATATCTCCAAATTTTTCATAAATACTAAAATACACAATTTTTATTCAATAATCCAGATTTGTTGGTGACTCTTTGAATTTTATTGTTTCGGTCATTTATCAGGATGAAGCTAGGCCCTACAAATTTATTGTTTCACTTTTATAAAGTAAAGTATTACGTGATTTGTAATTTTTAAAAATATATATGTATCGAAATAAATGTTTTTATAGCAGACGGATAATGATTTGCCTTAGAATTAAATACTGATACTGGTATCCCGGAATATGAAGTTAGGTCACATTTCATAATATTTTTTTAAATTGTAAGCAAAAGTGTTAATCTAGTTAATTTTAAATATAAATATTCCATTCCAACGTGATACACAGATTTTAACTTCATTTTGTCCAATATTATTAAATCAACATCAGACAATTCATAGCGTTTTGCGTAAATAGTCAAAACCACGCAGTAAAATAATTCGTAGGTATTTTAAAATTCAAATTTAAGATCCAAATTCACAGTACATTCGCAAAGAGTTCAGGTCATATTTTATGTGGGTAACGCATTCTGCAACAACATCGAAGAAGTCTAACTTTCACATATTTTCCCGAAAACTTAGCTTACATACTCAGCTCACTCCTATGCAATCGCAAAAAAATTTAGAAACATGACTCTTTAAGCACATGTCGACAATACTTGTTAAAGAAACCTTTTCTCTACCTTGACGAGAAATGAACATGAAAGCTCTCACCAAGGTATATTTATTTTATAAGGTAGTGTTAAGGGCGAATTCAAAAAAACTTGGGCGAATCGAAATACAACACTGTACAGTATTTGTTTTTGTTTAGGCGAATTCTGGTGTAGGCACAATGTCAAAAACAGCTGATTTATAATATGAGGCGAATTTGTAAAAATTAAAAAAAAAAGTTGTTTGTAAATAAAAGATTTTTTGAAATATAATAAAATTGTTAAAATTCTTCGTAAGTAGCCAAAGAATTTGTCCAGCGTTTAGAAAGTTGTTTAATGATTTTCCCTATTAGGAACACTCTTCGGTCTAGACAAGAAAATGCTAAAATAACGTTTGTCGGCTGATCAGTGGAAGGCTTGTTTGCAGCAGAAGGA